ATATGATGGTTTAATTTTACTTCGCTTTGTACTATATGAATTTCATCATTAGTTGAATTTGAGATGCCAATCATCTCATAAATCACATTGAAATCCTACATGTATGTTTGAGGCTTCTAAATATAAGTCATGATATAAACAATGCTAACCAGCCAGTGTTTTTCCAATGCTCACCAAGTTCATTAGGAAATACATAGACCAGTTTTGGTGGTAGTTCAATTAAGAACTTTTTCTGGTCACTGCCACGTAATGATGTCCAATTCAACTTCTTCTTTGTGTCAGACTTCTATACCTTTAATATAAAGCTAGTGCAAGTCATGTCTTAAATTTAATGGTTTTCACATAAAATGTTAATCGACACGATCGAATTGAATTACTTATGATGTCGACATGTCTAGGCTATTCTTTGTAGTCATGTTCTTCAAGTCAAGTTCAAGTCATGTTCTTCAAGCCTAAGAGATTTCTAATCAATATGTCTGAAATTCTTAACATCAATTGTAACTCATCAATTAAACCTGTAAATGTCAGTTATATTATGATTATGTGCATATAATTTTATGTTATGTTAGAAACATTTTCTAGCTCTGTTTCAAACAAAGGTTCTCAAAGTATGCCCATAGCCTGAGACTTAGCACAAGACTTTACTGAAGCCATTAATCAAGCTTGCTTTTTCTCATACTCTTCTGTGGAACAGTTGTATCAAATCTGTAAACAAAGTAAGTTACATTGCTGTACATAAATAATTGGCAATGGAATAATTAACCTTTTGTCCTTTTTAATGGTGCAGTATAAGCATAATTAATTTGAATGAGCGGCATTCATTCCCAGAAGCACTAGCAAAAACTAAAGCATTCATAGTATTGTTATGGTATTATGTGAGATTACTTCTAACATTATAGTCTTCTCCAAAAATAAACTTAAGGCTATAAGAGATTTTCTGAATTATTATATGAGGTTTCCCAACCATTTCACTGATTTCATAAATGACGTGCAAATCCATTCCTTATGACATCATATTTCTTTTCCCCTTTATAACTACTAGAGTGTGTGTGCCTACAGTAATTAAAAAGAATAAGGATGATGATGTTTCATACCGATGACGACTTGAGGTCAAGCAAAGGAAATGACAATGATAAGAGTAGAAATGACGATGAACAGTAAAATGGTGCTCCGTCACCAGATATTTTACTTTGACAGGTGACTGTATAAGATGCCCACTGTCCATCAATTGAGATAGTGACAACTGCAGGTAATTGTGAAATGGAACATAAAATGCTTGAGGCAGCTTTTGAATATCAACTCTTGATGAAAGACTTTTTCTGACATTTTTTACTGTATACAATTGGGGAAGAGACTTTTGGATCATAGATAGTTCGTGATAGAAATCATCTGATATGCAATAGGAAACCAGGAGATAGAGAATTTGTTGTACAGATGTAGGTGAATCAGGCAAGTTGCTTGATTGTTGACTAGAAGCTTGAGATGATGATGCTGATTCCATTTCAGGTGTTAAAGCAGAAAATGAAAAGGAAGTTGACAAAAAACTGGTGTTGACACTGTAGAGAAAGAGGAAGATGATGATGGATGAGTAGGTAAATAGTTAAATATAAATGGATCATATTGCAAATGCCGTTTCTCAAATGAAACTTATGTTATGTCAAGATGGTATGAGCCAGCAAACATTAAAGCTTCATTAGCTGACTCCTTTAATATGGCTAATTGATGCCTGTGCTGGCACTTACAAACTTTATCTAAATCTTTCCCTAATTTTCTGTGGATTGGCTATTTCTTAGCTGTACTAGCTCTTTCTCTTTAATTTGTACTGTTGCTCAGTCTGAAGAAATGAATATTAACACTGATACTCTCCTCATGCTACTACACGTACTTCTACTCTGCACTCAGGCATCTCCAAAGCTGCTATGTACACTCAATTCCTTACCTTAAGGCCTCCATAGCTTCCTCAGGATTAACAATGTCAGATGTAAGCACATCCATTAATGTGGATTGACTCAATATTTTCCACCTGTTGCCTTGTTAGTTAATTGTGCTCCATTCATCTTCAAATGTCCAATGACCTTAATAGCGATACTCCTCCCAGTTGCTTATTCAGTTGGCTGACCATAGCTGTAGCTGAAATGACTGTGTGCTGCATACCACTGGTAGAGGAACTTGTTTGCTATAGAGACAAAAGGAAACATCATTAGCTTTACTAGCTCTTAATATATTAGTACAAGCACTGTCAATAGTGACAGAAGACACTATAATCACACAACTGCAATGCACATAATGCAATGACCACAAAGGGACAGTTGAAAATCTTTTGCTACCTTCAACGGGTAAGTCCACACTTTTGTTACAAGATTGTCAATTTGTTTATACCATATCTTAGCTTCAAAAATCTATTTATGAGGGCAAAGGCAAACAAATGAAATTAATTTTACAATACACTCTTATAACTCGCAAAAAATTAAAAATATTGTAACCACGCTAATATGTCAATGTAAAATGGCGGCGTCAAAGTCTTCAACTTTGTGACGAAAGTTCCATGGTTCAACTTCATTTCTTTAGTAAACCTACACAGTAAAAACAGGTTTTATATGATGTTGATAAGTTCTAGTAAAATGAAGCAAAATGTTACATTTATAATTAGAAATGAATAGTAAAAACACAGCTCCCTCTGTTTTGCTAAGCATTTTCATTTCTTAATATGTGAAAGTATATGATTTCTTTTCCGTGTCCCAGCATTTCTGGACATGGCCATTTTTCAGCTACCATATCTCAGGACTGAAGAATCTAGGACAAAATTCCTACACTTAAATTATCACCTTTGCCTAGAGAGAGTTGCCTGGAAGCCTGACTACTTTTAGCAACATTACTGGCTCGTGTTGCTTAGGACAAAATGGATGAAAAAATGAACTGAAGAAAACCTACTTTTGGCAATGGCTTTATTTGACAGTGGGACTCATTAGGACCTGAGCCAAGAGCTGTTATAATTAAAAACAGAAGAAAGGAGTTATTTTCTAAACAGAAACACTGACAGCAGAGAAAGTACAGTGGAACCTCAAAATGCGGACCCCCTAAGAGAAGGACATCGCAATAATAGGGACATTTCCTGCTGGTCCTGCACAAAATACTACGGGGCACTGTATCAGCAAACCCCTTGGTTAAGTACACCTCCCCATTATGTATTGTGGACGCTTTCTTGATCCCCTACGGCTTGCTGGCAATTAAAAAAGCCCCATAATGCAGACATTAGCCACACCCTAGGGTGTGGTATTACTACTAACAAGCGCAACAGTGTAAAAATATTCCTATAATTGTTTTACCCCCTTGCAAGTACAGCTGGGTTCTTATTACGACTTATGAAGGTTCTCTCTACCTTCTAATGCTTCCAGAAAAGACTTTAGACAGTATCTCTATGTTCTTTCACTGTTAGAAAGCTCATAACTTTGTCCCATCAGCACACTGCCATTTTTGTTTGCCGTGACCACACCCACTTACGTAATGTGGGCAGGTGGTTGCTAAGGCTTGTTATTTCTACAATACAAAGAAACGTAAGTGTGGACATACAAATAAATAAATATATATATAGATAGCGCGACGGTGAAATCAATTATAGGACGACCTGGGGGCTACGCCCCCAGGTCATTAAAACAACAGTGTTACAAAGAAGAGAGCAATCAATTTCAAACATGCACATGCAACTATAACATATGTACAAAACAAATATGAAACCTCACTTTGTAAGCCAGTAAATTTCACTAACCTATCTTCAAGATTTACAGCCTGAAACCTTGTCATTTGTTTTTCTATAATATACATTGTATGCATAAGACATAGCATTATCAGACAGGTTATGTATCTCAGTTTTGCTCCAGCTAGCCGAACCGAAGAATTTGAGGACGACTGGTTTATTGAGGTGCTCACATGTTTTAAGGAAAAAATATAACCTAACATCACATGATGCAGGCAGTGCGTACATGTGTGTGTGTATGTGTGTGTGTGTGTGTGTGGGGTGTCATGAAGTTATTAGTGAACTTTGAGCATGGTGCTATGACAATGGGTACAACTGAACCCAGTAGCTAGCAAACCAAGGACTATTTATGTCTAGAGCCTATGCATAATTGTCGATACATACTTGTTTCCAAGTCCTGCGAAATGGAAAAAGATTCACCTGGGTTATCAATGCGGGTCTGAGGATGAGGCCCTAGATGACCTGTTAGTATTGTCCAAATCTAACTTGTTGGTTGCCATGATTCTTCAAGAGAAAAATAGATAATATTTGGATCTTACTCATTTCTTTAGTCATTGCTATAATTCTGAGCTGAGCTCTCTTGCTGCACTGAGCTGCCACACCACCTGATCTGATCTAGTTTTAAAATCTATTATCAGCAGACTCATGCATTATAGTGACTCATAAATCTGAATAATAATAAGCGTATTATTTAAAAAAAATTCCTATGATTGTTTTCACCACCGTATGCGTATCGCTCACATTATAATTCCTAGCAATAATAATAATTATTATTATTACCCTTGTTAATGATAAATTTATAAATGCACGTTTAGACAACACAAATACAAACAAACAAATATAATCATCATACAATGTTATTTTTATGACTCTGAAGAGCTTGATTATATTTATCTTATCATCACTCCGAAGAGCGTAATTATATTGATCGTATCATCACTCCTAAGAGCATGATTACATTCATCTTATCATCACTCCAAAGAGTAATACATGTACTGTACATGTAATGCTACATGTTTTATGTTCTATTATAATTGTATCTTCACTTAATACTAAAAAAAAGAGTGAGATTTTACTTCTGGGCCCACCATCCATCTCCAATCTCCATTCCATTATTATGAATAGATTCAAGATTTTTATGGAAAATACTATAATATAGACCACAACACTATTGTAGTTTTAATTTGTATTATAGTATTATCCCTTGACTATCCCAGAAGACACATCATTTATAATCTATGGTTCCTTAGTCTATCCATTTCATCATTTTTGCTACTGTTGATGATGTGATTTTCTTTTCAACTAGTCCTAGTACAGCAACTCCTTGGAGTGTTCTTACTCTACTTAAGGCAATGTATGCTATTCCATCTTCAAACACTTTAGGACCTAGATCGATTACAGCAGCATCAAGGGATAGACCCTGAACCTCATGTATAGTAGCTGCCCACCAAGGTAGTAGTGGCAACTGTGTACGCTGTAATGTTACTCCTTGCTTGCCAAAGAACTTGGCTGTGACTGGTTCTATTGGGACAGCTTCTTGTTCTAATGAATCATCAATTGTGACACGGCTCACAAGACCTACACGTGGGTCATTAAATTTTACATATTCTTTTTGTGGTGAATCCCCTTTCTTTGCTCGATCATCAGCTCCATTTGGCCAAGAGAAACCCACAATTATTCCTCTAGCTCCATTTACTAATCTTTCTTCACATATAATGTTACATCGTAACATAACCTGTGCTCCTATAGCTAACTTCACTTTACATGATAAGCCAGCACAATCTTTATCACTGGAAGGTATGAGCGAATCTGGGACTTCTTCATGTGATACTACACCAGGGATTAGTGTTGTTGACTCTACTATTGAATGCTCTCCATCAAAATCATATATTTTAGTAAAGCGTGATAAATCTTTCAATCTACTGTCATTATAATCTTCTACTTGTTCTTTTAAAGGCAATAGGCATAATGCATCAACAAATGGAGGTTGACTGACATCAATGGGATCCCTGATACCACTTGTCAAACTCGATCGGAGTACACTTATGTCAGACTTTGTCTGAGAACCAATTCTCACTCGTTTGTGAATTTCTGAATATTCTGTGTCTTGTCTTTGTCTCATATTCTGAGTTAGTTCTATTACTTTGAACTCATCCCTCCACAAGTGTGTTGAGCCTGGATTACAGCCTCTGCCATCTTGAAATACAAATTTGTCCCTCACTGGTGGCAACTAAAAGAAGTCACCTACAGCAATGACATTCAGTCTTCCAAAGAGAACTTCAGTGTCATCGGTTCCTTTAATTTGAGTTAGCCTCTTGCCAATGAAGGATATTGTTAAGTATGAGACCATACTTATCTCATCTATTATTATGGTTTTGACATATTTCCAGGATTGTCTTAGCATCTCTCAGCTCCAAGCTTTCTATAGGTAGTGGAGTTTCCATGCTCTACAGGAAGATTGAGAGCACGGTGAATAGTTAATCTACCAATATTAAAGGCTGCAACACCATTTGGTGCCATTAAAACGCAAGCATTTGCAGCACCAATTGAGCTCTTTCTAAATGCTCTTTGATGGCATATATTACATGGCTTTTACCAGTCCCAGCACCACCAGTTATAAACATGCGAAAAGGGCTGAGCATTGACTCTCTGATCCTCATTTGAAAAACATATACTGCTCTTGAATACTCAAGGACCTTCTCATAAAGGACTCTCTGGGAATCATCGAGACTCGCAATCCTTGCTTCAAAATCTGAGTCTGAAAAGCAACACCTTGAGATAGAGTCTAGAGTCAATGCATCTTCTGTGTCACCAATATTTTGTTCTATATTTTGACCTCAGATTTTGATGATCATTATTATCATCAACTAGTAATGCAGCTACATTATCAAGATATAATTCATTGTCATATATTGGATCATGACAATCACCTTCATGATTATTTTCTAAATTTACGTGCGAAGTACTAGGAGCAACAGGAGCGTACACAGCATTGCCACATTCATTTAGTACACGAAATTGCTTTGTCGCTCTTTGTACTTCATCAGCAAAAGAGGAGTTTTGTTTTGTACTTAATACTTGTAATTGATTCTTATTTGCTACAAATAATGCTCGAGCAGAGCCATGATTTCAAATTAAATCTAGAGTCTCATTTCTCCATGGGAGATAAAGAAAGATTAACTGATAATCGTAACTATCACCATGAGACTCTTGTGTTAATGTAGGTAACCTCAAGCATGCTTGCTTTCATTTTAGACATATCTTTTCTAGACCATTCTTTAGTTTATATCTAGTTTGGACACGGGAAGTTGTTGGCTCAAAACTTTTATCAGCAACATTGTACCATACAGAAAAGCGTGCAAGACTGATACTGTTAAATGGTTCTCCATCAGGACGAGATTGATATCTCTCTAATGGACCAGGATTGAAGACATCATCATCTCTAGTACTCATAGCTCTTAGCTCTCTATTTTGACTTAAATAGTTTTCCTCTTTTCTTTGGTCTATTTGTATTTATGAATACATACAATCGACTAAGGCCTCTTAAATGTTAGCCAGTAGTATAAAATACTGCCTCTTGAGCACCAAATATCCTGTGACTTATTAAAGTGTTTCCTATTTTTAAAAGTTTTTGTCTCTGGGTACAATTTACTGGCAGTTCATCTAACATTCTTGCTATCTGTTGTTTAATCTGTTCTGGCTTGTCTTTACACATATATAATATCATACATATTTTGCTGCTCCATTGACATATTCTACTACTTGAATGTCCATGTTAGCTCTCCATGCTTTCAGTAGGTCAGGATTGTATGGATTTATCATCTCAGCACCTACTTCACATTTCAGTATGTAGAAACGTGCTTTGTTTCCAACGTCAGCATTTCTTTTCAGACAAGTTGTGTCACTTCGCTTATTTGGGTAATCAAAGTACAGCAATTACGTCCATTTTTTCTACACATTTGTGTATGATTACGCTTTTGTAATTGCAATGCTAAACCTTTTAAATCATCATCTTCACCATCTTTTGGTATGTGACAACTAACATATGTATCAATGAAACCCGGAGCTTTCCTTCTACCTTCTACTGTCTTAATATCTGGTGCATTTCTACCCATAATAGACTATGTATATGAGGTGAGCCTGTTTGTTGAAACTCAACTCTCCAAAAGTAGTCTTTTATTTCACCTATAGGCTTACTTGCACCATTTAATATATGATTCATAAAAGCTTAAAAGCGATGAAAGAAATGATGTGTTACTATCACTGGATAGGTACTTTGTAACCTTCTACGCTCTGAGGTAGACAGCTCTTTTACTTCATCATCACTAAGGTGCTTTCCATCACATTTAGCAAGTACACACATTAAATCAAACCAATTCATATCATCTGCTGTTGTGATAAAAAATTAAGTGGACACAGCATTCTAAACATGGCAAACAAATCAAGCTTTGCTTATTCCAGTATGCTGAGGAACCCTCCCCCAAATATTACGCTTCAATGCATATAAATTTTCTGAAAGCTCCGGCTTTTAACTTAAATCTCCATTTAATAATTCACCAGTAGTGATACGCCCTGTGCTATCCAATGATAATAATGATTTAATTCGCATTGCAATTGATACAGAATCAAGTAACCTCATCTTTTCAAGTAAATTTGCTGACCATAGTAAATATGGAATATTATTAGACCAGCGATTGTCAGCATTAAGTAAACGTGATTGAATACAATCAGTAAATGATATTGGTGGATCTCTTGCTCTATGAAGGCCATTGACTTCATTTGGAAATAGACATGGAAATGCCATTTCTTCTGCACTATTATCTTCATATAAATTTATTGGCTGGCCACTTACTCGAGGAAGCTGATGCACTTGGTTATTATATGACCCATTTGGAATGAAGTCAATGGTTTCTAAATTTGGAAGTGTATGATCCGTTCTGACTACTGAACATTTGAATTGGGGAGGCTCAATGCTAGTACTATTCTCAGATTCATTATTACTGTCATAACAATCATTGATAACAGATTCATCAATATTCACATCGCTATATAAAGTATTATTATCTTTTAGCCACCTAAGAGCATCAACAACCAATGGCTTCCTCACCACAAATAGGTTCCTAGTACTAGTACATGTGCTTGATTGTGTAGTGTTAGCAGAAGCACTGTTTGTACTGGTACTAGCTCTATCACTCTCAGGCCTACTACTAGTACTGGCTGTTTGATCACCAGGTGGAACAGAGACTGTAGCATTTGTGCTCTGTGGTGGCTTAACTAACACAACTCCGTCACTATTTAGTGGCCTAGGCAAAGAATTAAATACTTCAGACACATTTGCAGGAAAATTAATGGTCTGGCAGCCAAAGCCAATGGCAACACTATTAGCTTCAAAAAGGCTTGCTGCACCCTTGAAATTAGTCTCTGTTCCACTGTGATCAAACAGAACAGTTCTGGTGAGATTTCATCTATATGTCTATTTTATATTGTAGCAAATGGTGGGATTTTCCCTTTCTTTATAAAAGCCATACATCTACTACAAACATGCACACTACCATTTACTACTTTATTAGGCCATAAAGCTGATAATTGTGTATAATTAATACATGCATGATAATGCTGTTTCAATACATCATGTACTTTACTAACATCAACCAATGATACACCTTTTGGGTAGCACAGACGCCCACATGCACAGCATATGCTGGTCAGAGATAGTCGTATTCCTTTTTGAAATTTTTCGGTCTTTTTGTGACAGTTGGTGCAGACGTATGCATTCAGGAGAGGGAGCTGGGCATGTCTGGTTAGCTGATAGTTGTTTGGCATACTGCCTCATTCTTTCATTTCTTTGAGCTCTTTGCTCTTCAGTTTCTGAGTCTCTCCTTTCACGATCTCTGATGAAGATCTAAAAGACGTACTTCTCGTTCTAACTTAGATTCATTTGCGTGTCTTTGTTGTGATCTTCAATTTAGGTCACTGAGATGTGCCTCTCTCTGAGCTTCTAACTCATTGGCACATTGTTGCTGAGATCTCAGCCTCTGGTCATCAACAAGTGCTTCTCCTTGAGCTTCAGATATATTGGGACATTGTTGCTGAGATCTCTGCATCTGGTCATCAGGACACACTTCTCTTTGAGCTTGAAACTCATTGGCACATCTTTGCTGAGATCTCTGCCTCTGGTCATCAAGACATACTTCTCTCTGAGCTTCAGACTCAATGGCACATCGTTGCTGGGATCCATGCCTCTGGTCATCAAGATGTGCTTCTCTTTGAGCTTCTGACTCATTGGCACATCTTTGCTGACATCGTAATCTTTATTATTAAGCGAGATTGTCTTTGAGATGGGGATTCATTTTCTATGGATCTCTTCATTCTTGCAAATTCCCTCATCCGTCTCAACATTCTTCCTTTTTCTACCATAGATTCTTTTGATCTCTATTGCCTTTTCTTTTCTTTATAATACTCGGTACGTCTCTTTTTATTAGTATTGACAACATCTTGTAGTGGTACATGGTGCTTAAGGCCCCAGAATCAGTCACTCGCCTTTTTTTGCATAGCGATGCTGTTGTAGTGTGTGCATTTTGTTGTTTAGTGGACTCCAGCATCCACTGGTGTAATACGCTCTTCTTTGTTACTCTTTGTACTGAAGTTTCCTTCTTCCAAAAGCATTGAAACTGCATCTTACAATTCTTTGTTGCTTAGTTATGGATTTTCAATTAAGGCATGGCTTGTTTTGATTGGTCAGTATTTTAATTATTATTAAATGTAAACCTATTAATTAATGAATTCTTGACACATTAATTATTATTGGATAGTTGGCTCCTAAATTATTAATGACAACAGCTGCATTCACTGATTTCATATTATTTATTTGAGTGAGTATACTGAATGAAAGTCACATTGGACTCAGACATTGAAGAATAAAACCTAGCTCTACTTTATGATGTAAATGTTTGTATGATAAAGTTACAATAAAATTTTGTTATAAATCTTCAATAGGATCCAATGAACTCTGAAGAAGAGCCCAGCAATGATCCTGAAACAGTGGCACGACGAGGCCGCAGAAAGAGAAGACCATCACCTCCCCCAAGACCACCTCGACCTCCCACATCAAGGCCAAGACCT